CTTCTACCCCACCCTTCTCAACCCCAAGGGCGACTCAGGGTGGTGTACAAACTGGCAACAATTGAATACCACAACATACATACATCAATTAAACAAGTTTTTTTTTTTGTCGTGTCAGGAGCATCCTGCTGTGAGAGAATTGGCCGTCTGCAAGGACGTTGCCCAGGGGACGCCCAGATGATTTTGATGTTTTATCATCCTTGTGGGAGGCTTCTCTCATGTCCCCGCATGAGGAGCTGGAACTGATAGAGGGAGCTCATCCGCCTCTCCCCGGATTCGAACCTGCGACCTGTCGGTCTTCAGTCCTGCCGGCACAGGGCTTTAACCCACTGTGCCACCGGGGGCTCCGATTAAACAGTTAAAAGTACATAGTAAAATCCATGTAAAAATCAGTTCCATATTAAAATCAATTAAAACTATAATTAATATCTTAATATCTTAATAATTAATATCTTCCTGTTAATCTCCTTGTCCTTTACATTGTTTAGCCATTCCATGTTCGCTATAGTACAGTAATAATTGCGACCTGTTGGGCTATGGAAAACTTAAAAGAGCTTTTCTTAAATGTGAGGGCCTATAAAACTATCAAGGTTTGGGAAACTGAAAAACTAGTTTGGCAAGGAAATCCCTCAGGTGGATAAAACAAACAGGAAAAGATCTCTTCTTAAGATGCAATTAAAATCAGACCCCAGAAGGTACCCAGGTGTGTTATAAGATATCAAATGTAAACTGCACCTCAACAGGACTGTATCGCTCTGTATGTTTCCCATTCAGTTGTCTGTATTCTCATTGTGTCAAAGTCTAACTCCTTTTGTGGACTGTTATAATCTTTTTGCATTATCTCAAACCTTATGATTAAGTTGCAGACTGGGCAGTACTTTAAGCAGCTCCAGTTTCAAAATGACAAGAGAGACTTCATCCATCCCTGACATCACAGGAAGTCCCCAGCTAATGACTGCTCGGATCCTAGTTTGGCCAATCCCAAGTCAATCAGAGGAGTGAATAGGTCTTTTGAATGCCCGTCAAAGTGGATAAAATGTCTTGTACAGTACTGTATGGTAATGTCTGTTTCCTTTCCATTGAAGACTCTGCATCAGACATCCTTTAAGCCCAAGAGTATATTTAACTACTGTTATTGCCTTCAAACCCAGTTTACATCTATCCTGGCTGTCAAGGTAGCACAGTGTGCCGGGTGGTGGATCCACTCTGTTCCGTAAGTGGCTAGCTAATTTTAGCAACAGTATGAGGGGAGTCCATTTAATCACTGATAATGCCGAAGTAGATGAACAAACAATTTGAACTAGAGCTCTGAGAAAGAAAAAAATGTTGAACTACAATGCTCACTAGAGGATTTTTGGTTATAAATGAAAGCCTTGAGTGTCTTCTCAGGATTAGAGTATTTCTTTGAATAAATTCAGTGAAAAGAAACTGCCTTTTAATTAAACCAGTCTTCATTTTTCTCCCAAAGGGGCTAATACCCTGAGAAAATAGTCCTAATACAACACATTCTACAACTACAAACAGTTCTGTGAACTTGAGGGTTTTTGTTTATCTCCTGGAATATATTGGAATCCCTATGCGGTCACAAAATAACCCCAGAAATCATTCCCTTCTAGTGCCTTTTAAAAATCCATTTGGATGGTTATTTAAAAAAAATACCTTATAGGTTTGGGAAAATGAGATGGAGTAAAAAATAAATGAAAGAAATATGTGTTACTGCAAGAAATTTGCATCCAATCTAGGCTTTGAAAGTCTTTGTACTGATGTACCATTTTGCGTCTATTATTTTAAAAAAGTTTTAAAGAACTCATGCAGCACCGTGAAATTACTCAAAAGAAAAGCAAACATTGGCAGCATTCTGTCCACAGAGTTACATCCAACCAGGGAAAATAATGAATATACTTTAACTGAAAATGTCTTGTAGTTTGATATCCTCAGCGGAACTCATTCGTTTCACAAGTAATTATAATACTCTTTATGTATAAGATATTGGAATCTTTCTTCTAGATTACAGCGCCATGAGGAAAACTCAGTTTAATTGAACTAGCTAAAGTGAAATCATATCAATACATATCAAGTGGAGGTTTAGTTCAACCTTGTGCCTGGGATCATGTCAAATCCTTTATAACCCAACAGATGGCCACACAGCCAGAAGAAGAAGAAGAAGAAGAAGAAGAAGAAGGAGGAGAAGGAGAAGGAGAAGGAGAAGGAGAAGGAGAAGGAGGAGAAGGAGAAGGAGAAGGAGAAGGAGAAGGAGAAGGAGAAGGAGAAGGAGAAGGAGAAGGAGAAGGAGAAGGAGAAGGAGGAGAAGGAGAAGGAGAAGGAGAAGGAGAAGGAGAAGGAGAAGGAGAAGGAGAAGGAGAAGGAGAAGAAGGAGAAGAAGGAGAAGAAGGAGAAGAAGGAGAGGTGGTGGTGGTGGTGGTGGTGGTGGTGGTATCTGGGCAGCAAGAGATGTGGGGACGAAAGAGTCTGTGCCCTGGGAGGGTGGTGCTGCTGCTGCTGTTTATGGTAGCTCAAAACTTCAATTTCCCGAAGGGCTCCATGAAGCATAGTTTGAGAACCCCTGTTCTAAACTAAGATCTGACACTAGAATTGAATCTAGAATAGGAAAAGGATTTTGGAGTTGGAGAAAGCCCTGGAATACAAAGAGAGTGCATTGTTTCCAATAGAAGCTAGGCAAAGGAAACTTGTAAACTAATCCTTGCCTCAAAGTTGTGGGTCCAACTTGTTAGTATGTGTTAAACATCCCTTATCCAGAAATCTGAAGGGCCCCCAAATTCAAAATTGTCCATGTGGATGGCCAAGATAGAATTATTTTAAATATTATGCATAAAATTACATATGGTGTATATTAAGGTTGTGCAAAATTATTGTTAGTCCTCTTAAGTCAGATCATTTTTTAAATTGTCCTTTGATGCAATATTCGACATGTGGGCATGGTCGGTGAATCAAAAACTTAAGAATCAAAACTTACCCAATACTTTTTCATTTTCTAAACCTTTGAAGTCGCCCAAAATCAGTTTCATTTTCAGCACAAACAAGCAAAGCAAAGCTAAAAAGCCTGCCATTCCTCTTTAAATTAATGGTCTCTCACTATTAAGAAAGGGAAGCAGCAGAGAAAAAAGAGACTGAGAAAGCACAGGGAAAGAGTCTGAGAAAGCACAGAATTCTAGGAAATATAGTTTGGGGAGGTGAGGAGCCCTATGCCATAGAATTCAAGAGGCTCTGCCCTAAACTACATTTCCCAGAATTCTGCTCAGCATCAGAAAGCCCCAATCAGGAGAGGGGAGAGATTTGTCCCTCCATAGTAGCAGCCAGCCAGAGTTCCAATAAATTGTTGTATCTGCAAAGAGGAGGCCTAACTGATACTTCTAGTAAGTAAATATCTGTGTTGGGATGGCAAGAAATCCTCAAATGGAAGTTCTGTTGGTTAATACAAGAGACATTCAATGAGATAGCTGTTATGGCTTTTTAAATTTTTTTGTCAAAACTTTAAAAAAATCGCTATATGGGCATGGTCTAGAGGCATTTTCTCCTGACGTTTCGCCTGCATCTATGGCAAGCATCCTCAGAGGTAGTGAGGACTCTAGACCATGGCCATATAGCCCGAAAAAACCTACAACAACCCAGTGATTCCAGCCATAAAAGCCTTCGACAATAATTTTAAAAAATCCTCTAAAATTAGTAGATGTATGAATATTTTGTGGATAAGTGTAATGCTCTGAAACTTGATGGGTAGGCAGTGTAAAGGTGTTCTACCATTGTAACAAGTTTAACCCCAATATCTATAAAAACAAGGGAGAAAGGAGTTCCTGAAGTTTTCCCACTTGCGCATACCACCCCCCTGTTATGTCAGCTCCACTGGCTGCTGATCCAGTTCCGAGCACAATTCAAAGTGCTGGTTTTGACCTACAAAACCCTATACGGCTCTGGCCCAGCGTACCTGTCCGAACGTATCTCCTTCTACGTCCCATCTCAGAGTTTAAGATCTTCCGGGGAGGCCCTGCTCTCAGCCCTGTTTTTATCACAAGTGAGACTGGCGGGGACGAGGGACAGAGCCTTCTCAGTGGTGGCCCCTCGCCTGTGGAATGCGCTCYCCGGGGAAATTAGGTCATCAACATCCCTCCTCTCTTTCAGAAGRAAGCTAAAGACCTGGATATGGGACCAGGCCTTTGGGTAAGCTGGCAGATGGATAAAAGACAATGRYGACCAGAGTAGGAAAGGACAATGACAATGCTGGATGGATTATGGATTTATGAATTGACGAAYRTTGRCCACAAGATGATTTTATTGCTGCTGTTGTTTTAATTTGACTGTTTTAATTAGTTATAACTGTCGTCGTTATATTGTAAATTGTATATTGTATTTTGTGAATTGTTGGACATCAAATTGTGCCTTTTGTAAGCTGCCCTGAGTCCCCCCTAGGGGGTTGAGAAGGGCGGGGTAGCACTCCAAATAAATAAATAAATAAAATACTACAATGAAAGTGCAATGAAATTTTATTACTCTCACTTTAGAAATGAAACACTAGTTCCCCCTAATTTTGTAATGAGTTGTGAAACATTTTTTTCACTGAACGCACAGCCCTAGTATATATGAAGCATTAATGCATTTTCGTGTTAGACTTGGGTCCCATCTCCAAGGTATTTCATTATATACACATATGCAAATATATCCAAAATACGTCTGATCATTTCAGATAAAGGATTTTCAAACTATATTAGTAAAGTAGAAAAAAATCCAGTTGGCTGTAGGAATTTTAAGTCATCAATGTTCTGTGATTTGTAAAGATATAGAGGAGATAGAGGAACAAATTGTCAAAATCATATCTAATATAATTATTATTTGCCTGAAAAAAAAACTCAACCTGAAGGCTCTCTAGTCAACTTTGAAAGGAAAAGGAAGGCTTGCTTACTCTTCAGTGAATAATTAACCAAACAATGTGAATTCTGAAGAATTGGTCTATGTCCAACACCAGATCTATTTCACAGGAACAGTTTAAATAATGTTTATTAACATAATCAAAGGAGAACAATGAAGACATTTAGTATGAGCTGATACATTAGAGTTCAGAGCAACCACATCTTATATTATAGCAGACTAACAGCAAAGGAATGTCAGCGTGAAGGGAATGCATGAAGATCTGATCACAAAGAAGCGTGAAGCTAGAACAGAGTTTCATTGTGAAAAGCCTTTTCTAAAAACTATTTATTTTCTAACACAATTCAAACTGCCTGTTCAATAAGATCTAAAGCTAGAAAATCAGATGCTTCTAGGCATTGGCAATTCTGAAGGAGTCATGTTCAGCTGTGATATTGTTGATTATGGAAATTCCCCAAATTTCAACCTACTAATGTTATTTTTAATAAATCTAACTTTCCTACCACCCTAACTCAAAAAAACCAAAGCAGTTATTACACATTGGGATCAGTATTTGAAAGTCAAACTGAATCATTTTGTCACAATGACACACATCGTTGGTTTATGGTGCTTTTAAGGGCTTACTAGCGGTGGTAGTCATTGGCATGTAGCTATCTCCTCTCACAGGTAATTGAGACAAGTTTTGGTGCTTCTGATTTTTGCCATTATCAAGTCCAACGAGAGATGTAGGTGGTTCCCGAAGTTCACTTGGCTCCATATTTATACCACCAGTTGGTTCTACAAACACTTCATTTGTCACCACACCTGGCTGTCTGAAACCAGAGGGGGTTGGGTAGAAGGCACCTGGGGCTACACTCAGGCCCTCTTCAGTGGTTGGGGATCCCTTTTGGATGCCAGCTGCTGTGCTCTCTGGATATGGAAGATTGCCCTGATTGGTCCCTACTTGCCCTGCTGGAAGCAGGTCATCTTGATCTTCAGGGAGGGCCCCTGACTGGCCTGAAGGGAACAAACCACCTGGTAGTCCAGGGAGGAGGAATGCAGCCATGACCTGTGAAGTTGGCTGAAAAAAATAGGGAAGAAAGCAGTAAAACATCTATGATCATATATAATGAAACAAAAGATAATGTAGACCAGACCTGCACAACCTGTGGCACTCCATGTGTTTTGGACTTCAGTTCCGAGAATCCCTGACCATCAGACAAGCCTCTGGGAATGGGAGTCCCAAACACCTGGAGGACCACAGGTTGTGCAAGACTGATGTAGACCATACCACCTTTCCATAATACCACAAATGCAGTGTATATCTTTCCCTGTCTTCACAGTGAAATTGGAGAGGGCAAATTCTTAACCTAGGCATCCTCAAACCCTGGCTCTCTAGATGTTTGGACCTGCAACTTCCAGAATTCCTGATGATTGAACATGCTGGCTAGGGCTTCTGGGAGTTGGAGGCCCAAGCAGCTAGAGGGGATGTCTGTCTTAGCTAAAAAGAAGCTGAATTCTGAGACTTATACCCTGTATTGCATATAGGGCAGCCATATGTCATACTTTGGAAAATTACTTAAAATGGGTTGTTGAAGGACATGTCTCACTTTGGGGACATCTTGGCTGAATTCATTAGTCCCTGGAGACAAAAGTTGGGTTGTGGTAGCTTACATTAAATAATTAAATGATCAAAAAGAGATATGCTTTCTTCTGAGAAATTTTGAATCATCTGTTTGAAGGGCTGTGTAGACCAAGTCCAATTTAAAGATCACAAGTTTGGATTTTCTGTCCTTCTGTAACTCATATCTGGATAGCCAAATGAGCAGCTGCATCTAGGTGAGATTGCCACCATCGTTCTCATGATGGTGTACGGATGTAATTCTTTACTAGTTTCATTCTTACAAGAAGCAACAAACAATTGGTCTTATTTTGTAAACTTCACATTTGGCATTTCGGGGAGGACGACATTTTCTGCACATGAAACATGGTTTTCTGTGCAGAAAACACTGTCTTCTGTAAACAAAATATTGTGAAAATATTCTGTGCAAAACTTTCATGAGATATTTTTTACACGGCAAAAAGCATTGATTCCATAGAAAATTAAAATTCTCTGCATAAATATATTTTCTGCATGGAACATTTTGCATCCTCCACATGTTTTCTGTTTTAAAAATGGCTGTTTGAATTTTTCACAAAATAAAACTAAAACTGTGGAGAATGTTGTCATTCCAGGTGTCTTCTTGTCATGATTTTCTAAAATTTTCAAATATTTTTCAAATATTTTTCCATTCTTAATTTGCAAGCATGTGGTAGTGTTTTGGGTGCTGTACTATAAATCTGGAAATCCGGGTTTGAATCCTCACTTGGCCATGAAAATGTATTTATTTATTTATTTATTTACAGCATTTATATTCCACCCTTCTCACCCCGCAGGGGACTCAGGGCGGATTACAGTGTACACATATATGGCAAACATTCAATGCCAATTTTAACATACAACATATAGAGACATACACCAAGGCTATTTAACTTTTTCTGGCCGCCAGGGGAGCTGTCGCTTTCATCATCCATCTGCGACACTGATGAAGTACTTCCGCATTCCCCGCATGCTTTTTTGCTGGAGTACTTTGCTGGAGTCTTTTTTATGGCCTCATAAATTAGTTAATTTAGCCTCCCCACACTTTAAGGTGGTACCTAATTTTCCTACTTGACAGATGCAACTGTCTTTCAGGTTGCAAAGGTCGACAACAGGCTACACAATTGGTTGGAAACCCACTCCAACCCAGGCTGGCTTCGAACTCATGACCTTTTGGTCAGAGTGATCTTAATGCAGCTGACACTCAGCCAGCTGCGCCACAATCCTGGTGCTGAGTAATGCTAAGCGGGTTGTACACAACAACAACAATAATGACAACATGAAAATAGCAATCAAAGAGTTAAGTATTTACCATTTCTTCAGAACTGAGGACTGTGCCCTAGTGCCCAAGAAAATGGGGTATAGAAACAAAGGACACGGAATTAATGAAATTTTTAAAAGCAATTCCTAAATGGTCTATAAAGTACTGGTGTCAACCATGCTAATATTAGTAATAGTGTAATGAAAATAGTATCAATAAAGATGACAGGTAGCAACATTTTAATAAATATAATATAATGATAAAAATACAACAACTATCATATTAATACTCCCTTTTTTAGCACTCAAAGCATAATTATTAATATTATCCTTAACAACAAGGTCGGGGTGAAGGTGATGTTATGGTCCTTTCCTGGGTGAAAGATGTACTGCCAGATCAGAAGATGGAGAAATTTCCCTATAAAGTGCATTTCCATAAGCATTTTTTTTTCCAGAATGGGAATCATAGGGGGAAAACAACTTTCTTATAACAGGTCAGATAATTGGTCCATCTAGTTCACTACTGTTTATACTGTCTGTCAGATACTTGCTGGAGATTCTGATGAAGACTTTCTTTGACCTGCTTGGAGATGTCAGGGTCTGATTCAAGGACCTTCTGCATGCCAAGGAAAAGTTCTGCTCCTAAATTATGAAAAGAGCAGACCTTTCCTCCCATGAAGTTTCTATGATGGGCCTGAGTGGTCACCTAACAATACAACAGGGTTTCTTTCTGTATTAGCAGAAGGTGTAACTAGAGGTGCTCCAGAATTAGTGCAGTTTGACAACCCTTTCACTGTCATGGCTCAATGCCATGGAATCATGGGAGTTGTTGTTTAGCCTTCTTTTCCCAAGAGTGTTGGTGCATCACCAAACTATAAATCCCAGAAAGCCATAGCACTGAGCCATGGCAGTTAAAGTGATGTCAAACTGCATTCATTTTACAGTGTAGGTGGATCCTAGGCAATCTCCATAGTGCCTTCCAACGTATTATCTTTCCTAAATGGAGTGAGTAACTCCTGGAGACCCAAGGAGAAATTTTTGCCCTTTCCCAGACCTTAAAGAGTTTATATTCTAAGTTCTTCTCTTGTTATGGAAATGGCAATTCCTAACAAACAAGAAACTATTTCCCTACCAAAACAGGGGTCTCTCTGTGTTGGAAGTCTCCATATTAAACCTCCAAGCATTTCACTATACAAGCATTCCTTTTGTCTCACTTCTTACCTGAGGTCCCATTTGTGTAAATATAATTGGAAACATCTGCAAGTAATAATAATTATATTTAGCACATTGCAATAGGTTTTGGTTAATTATAGATAAGACAGGTGAGGAAATTGGCTTTGTGTTAAATCAAGGGCACAGTTAAGGCTTTTTAAAAGGTTTTTAAAAAACAATCTTGCGAATTATTAAGATGAATGAATATGCACACATTTACTAAAGCATATTGGCAATTTGTGGAACAGTCTTTCAAAGCTAAAATTTTCATTAACATGTTTAACTTAGTATGAAGGTTTTATAGCAGACATGAGATAGTATTGCTTGGCATTGCCTGCCTAACTTGCCCTCTCTTACTTAATTTAAATTCCTACTCAAAATTACCTTTTTGGTGAAGTTTTCTGAACAATATACAAGGGCGCATACCAACCTATGTGTTCCTTCAGCCAGGTGGACAGCTGTGGGGAGGCTCATGAGCTGTTTCTCCCCCAAATGACCCTACCTGAGCCCTATGAACTTTGTAAAAATATATTATCATGGCCCCCTTACACACAGCTGAATAAAATCCCACATTTTCTGCTTTGAACTGCGATATATGGCAGTGTGGACTCAGATAGCCTAACGACTTGATAAACTGCAAGTTGTTTCTAGTGTGAGAGAATTGACTGTCTGCAAGGACATTTCCCAGGGGATATCCGGATGTTTTATGTTTTTACCATCATGTGGGAAGCTTCTCTCATGTCCCCGCATGGGGAGCTGGAGCTGACAGAGGGAACTCAACCCACTCTCCCTGGATTTGAACTTTTGATCTGTCAGTCAGCAGTCCTGCTAGCAACCTTCAGCCTTTAATTGGTTGGTGTAGATGGATTGGAAATGGGTGTGCTGTTGTTTAATGTAATACAGCACACCTTCCACTTTTGGGGGGATTTGGGGCAGAGGGCCCCTATGGAAGTAAAAAAAATGAAACTTTAAAAAAAAATTTTAACCTGAAATAATACCTCTCTAGAAATTTCTAGGTCCTCCCGACTGACTCTATCTCTGGAAGGGATTATTGGAATATTATAATCAAATCCACAAATATAAGTTAAACCCACAGCAGGCATGTAGCCGGGGTGGGGGGGGGGGCTTGAGGGGCTTCAGCCCCCCCCCCAAATTCTCATGGTGGTTCGCAAAAAGGCCTTACTGGTGCATTATTTAAACTGTTATGTTTGTTCATATCATGATCTGATCACCATACTCAATATATCCCATAGGGCTGGGCAACCACGGAAAAATTTGTTTCTAAACTCGATTCGTTTTTAGGGGGTTTTTGCGTTTCGTTTTTTAAAAGAATTCCGAAATTTTTCTTAAAAAAGTTCGATATTTACGAAATTTTGGAAACTACAAAACAATTTCTAAACAATAACGAATCGATTCGTTAATGGCGGACGCGATTGTGCAATACGCTAAAAAACCCTCCAAATGGGACAGGGGGAACTTCTGAAGCTTCCCTCTCCCTCTGTTGTTGACTGTTGGTGTGATAATTTATTTTTTTATCACTGATAAAACAAACAACAACTATAAAACTTGCACCAGACATACGGAAATAATAACGAAATAATAACGAAACAATTTCGAAACAATTACGAAATAAATTTTAAAAATTCGTTTCAATTTTTAGTTGCTCCTGAATGGTTCAATATCGGATCGTAAGCCACTTTAAATACGAATTATTAACGAATTACGAAATTAACGAACGAAACCGCACAGCCCTAATATCCCATATGCATGGGGGTATTGGGGTAATGATACAGAAAGTTTGCTAGGATAGACACTCTTCCACTCAGACTCAGCCCTCCCCAAAACAAACTCAGCCCCTCCCCCCGAATCGAAATCCTGGCTACGGGCCTGATCCACAGATATGGAGAACTGACTGAATGTGGCTTATGTCTTTTGCTTTAAATTAATGTGTTAGAAATAATGCTTTATTTGCATTGACTGTTCCTGTTTTTTAGTATCACACACTATTTTATCTATTTTATTTCAACTTGTATTGTAAGCAGCTTTGGGTCCTATATTGGGAGAAAGATAATATATAAATCAAATTTTAAAGAAAATAAGTAATAGCAAGTTCTTTGCTCCAAGGATCATTCAGTAGCTGCACAGGCTGCTAGAATGCTTTAAAAATTGGGAGAGATTAGAAGAAATTCAAAAGTGGCCAGAATGGTTTTGAAAAATAAGTATATTTCCTGTATGCGAATACTGCGGTTCTACTATCTTATACAGCCTCTGTCACCTCTTTTCTTTCATACGATAGTTTAGATTTTAGAGACACATCAGCTATGGAGACAGATGAAGGTTCTGAAGTCAAATCTCATTATCCAACAGTAGACTTCTCTTTCCCTCCTTCAAGAAGATGGCCCAAAATATCTCAAATCCCCTGAAATGGTGTCTACAGGACTAGAGGATTTCAGCCTTAGAAATGTTAGGAAATACTTACTGGTGGTGGTGGCAGAAGCTGCTGTGGTATCAACCCACCACCTGGTAGAGGTTGTGCTTGTGTTGTGGATAATGCTCCTAATAGCAGAGCAAGCTACAAGAAAAGGAAGAGAAGTGCTTGAAAGCATGGACAACACGTAGAGGAAGAAGTGGAGGGGTGGGATATCTTTGCGTCATTTAATTTTGATTCAAATTCCGAACCCCTATTATATTTTAATCCGAATGTCAGACATTGCAGATGTCAAGAGATCACTCTGGCCAGACAGCTCATGACCAGTCATCCTTGAAGCAACGTTTTCTCATTAATGTCTAGTCATTTTAAAAATGTATTTCTTGCACTGCTCCTAGTCAAGATGTCTTTTCAACCAGAAGACCTTGGCAGGACTAGACCTAACATCAGGCACACTAAGGTAGAACTACAGACAGTAGTCAATCTTGGCAGTGTCATGAAAAGACATATACTGTTCTGCCCAGGCAGAAAAATGTTGTGGAGCAACACTGGTGTTGAACCATTTCATACTGAAGTATAGCATCTCTCTTTCTTTTTTTCTTTCTCTCTCTCTCTCTCTCTCACACACACACACAGAGAGAGAGAAAGAGAGAGAGAGAGAGAGAAGGATAATTCTTAGAATTCATCCACTCAAAATGAATAATGTTTGCTCTCCCGGAAACTTTTGCTCTCCTTGAAAATCCCTGAAACAAGCACATGGAAATGGAGTCCTACACATTTCTGATGACGTCCTAAGACAGTTATTGTGGTGGGGTATGTGTGCCTTCAGCAATACAGAAGATATATTAAAACTGGATTCATAGTGGTGAAATTCTTTATGCATAGAAGATGGAACTGAGGAAGCATCTTGATGTTCTCTAGGGGACACAAGGACTGAAACTCTTCCATACTTCTGGACAGGTTTGAAACAAAAATCAGACATGTATTGGGTGAGGGACTGTTGTCTGGCTCTAAGTGTGGTGAAAGTCATTTTGCTGCCTGCAACAATACATAAGGTGTCGCCATACTCATATGTAACTCTACCTTCAACTGTGTATATCATCATTATAAATTGGCCAAAAGTGTCCACCCCACTGTGCAAAAGAATGCCCAAATGTTGTTTCTTGCACCAAAAATGTTCTAGGTTGTTCCACAACCCCACTAAAAATATGCATTTTATGAACACAATATCTTGCACAAACATTTGAATGAAATTAAATATAGAGAACATATAAAAAGTTATGTAAAGATATATTAAGAAAAATGCAAAGAAAAGAACTTACAGAATTGATATCTATCGGAACCATTTGGGTGAATGGTAGTACATTGAAGCCAGGAAAGTTCTGCAACACAAAGAATGGTGAAGGGTTGTTGAACTGATTACTGCAAATGTTTTAGGGCAGAGGTGGGCATCATATAGTTCTCCTGGTGTTGTCATATTGCAATTCATAGTGAGGTGTGGTGGGGCATGCAGCCCAACAAATGTAAGCATTCTGCATAACTCTAACCCTTGATTCTAACCCCTGCACATTATACATGTCTCCCTGGGTATAGGACTCACCTAATTCAAGAATTAAAATATTTTCTGGATATAATGTTAGAGAAACACTTGTTTTTATTCTCCAGTTAATTCAAACAGGGCAGGGCCAGAGAATCTGCAGCCATCACGACAGTAGACTACACTCCAATTATCCTTGCCCACTGGGCATATTTGTTGCAGCTGGTGGGAAATGCTGCTCAAATATACAACCGCAAGTTGTCTACACCAATGAAGTATGTGATCAGCATGAGCTCATTCCAGCTCAGGAAACCAAGGGCTTGTCTACACTAGCCCTATATCCCCGAAGTGGACTAGCAGTTGCTCCTGGATATTCAACAACATCAAGAACTTCCAGTCCTTAACACAAGGTAAAAAGGTAAAGGTTTTCTCCTGACATTAAGTCCAGTTCATGTCTGACTCTGGGGGTTGGTGCTCATCTCCTTTTCTGAACCGAAGAGCCGGCGTTGTCCATAGACACCTCCAAGGTCATGTGGCCAGCATGACTACATGGTCCGCCATTACCTTCCTAGCAGAGTAGTACCTATTGATCTACTCACATTTGCATGTTTTCGAACTGCTAGGTTGGCAGAAGCTAGGGCTGACACCGGAAGCTCATGCCGCTCCCCGGAATCGAACCTGCGACCTTTCGATCAACAAGCTCAGCAGCTCAGTGCTTTAACCCACTGCGCCACCGGGGGCTCCTAACACAAGGTAAACAGGGTTAAAACAATTTATTCTGGAGCTTTCCACAACTTTGCTTAACATGGGAATAAATTGTTTTAACCCTGTAACACAAGGTAAACAGGGTTAAAACAATTTATCCCCATGTTAAGCAAAGTTGTGGAAAGCTCCAGAATTTTGCTGAAACTCCAAAGCAGCCCCACACTTGGGGCAGAATGTGATCGATCTTGCCATTGCTTTTTTGCTATGCTGATAAGGGAATAAATCAGTCCCATGCCACACAAACACACACATCTGTCGCCATGGTAAATGGCCACAGAGAGTTTGAGAGCATCTTTTCTTACATCAGCAAAGGCATCAGTATGACAAAAGAGAAGAAGGGGAGATTGCAAAGGTGCTTGGCAGTGACCAGAAGCTATCTCAGAGGTTTGTTTCAATCATGCAGCCCCAAACCAAAGGAAAGGGGATAGTCCAGTGGAGCCAAATTGCTTTTGTGTCAGCTGGACTGTCTGTAGGAGCATGTGGCCACCTCTGGATCCAGTCTGGAGTAGCGATACGCCAGACTGGCTCCGGATTTAGTGGTGCATGTAGACAAGCCCCAGGTTTACAATTAAAATCTCCATCTGGTTGTATTTACATCAATGTTGAGCATAGCAGCAATTCTGTGTAGTTTTAAATATTTACTTTAGCCTTGGTGGACTTAGTTTTGAAACTTATTACTGAATATCCTCAAGATACACATTTCACATCAGCTAAGGATACAGTGTATTTATTTACACAAAGTTTTACTGACACACAAAATTAACTGCAGGTTTAAAATAATGAACTGCTTTTCAGCTGGACAATTTCTTGAAATAAAATAATGCTAAATTGTCAACACGAACTTGTAGAGACATAGTAAAAGTGAATTTCCAAAGCAACTCTTTACTGTCATTTAGAAAGTTTTCTTACCTGTACGGTAGGACTTCCCAGTTCCTGTGGGTTTTGTGCAGTTAAAATGGGGTAATTTCCAAAAGGCCATTCAATTGCAGGAATCTGCAAATATTGGCAAAGAATCACATTGATGAACACAGTGGATGGAAACATGAGACATATTATATCAAGGTGGGTAGCTCTGAGGGAAATGAGAGCCATTTTTCTCCAGGCCTCATTGGCACTCCTATTGGAACCGGAAATGCTATCATAACACTTCCCTTTGGTTTTAGCTGATTGTTTCTCCTAATTTTTGGTGGAAATAGGTTGGAGTCATTAGGAATTTAGGATGGCTACCACATTTTGCACTTTTTTTAAAAAAATACTGAAAACCAAACACATTTTCAAAGATAATTAAACTATTTGGGCAAAAGGGAGAGATTGTCCAATAGGGGAAGAATGTAGGGAAAGGAAAGAATGAAAGTAACAAAAAGTAAAATAAAATAATTTAAAATCTGTTTAAAATCCATTTAGATCTGTTTAGAGGCAAGAAAAATCCCTGTTGGCAAATTGAACTGGAATATTTAAACTGAGGTTCTCTTCAAGGGCATCACCTTGAAAACATAGGTCAACAACAGCTCAATATATCAACTCAAAAATAGACCTCAATGTTCAGGTAAGTGTATATACTGTATAATACATATTACAATCTAACTGATCACATTATGGGATATACAAAATATATTTTTCATCCATATATGAAATCTGAAGTATCAGCAAACAAAAATGTGTCTTGCTGTAATCTTGAACATGTGTCTCCAGAAACACGTCCAACAGAAATCAAGAAAAAAAATTTCCAATAAGGCCATTTAGAGCTGTTTGAGAACTCACAAGTGCTAGTATTGTGGAACTGATGTGAATTCCCAAATCCTGAAATCCTAGTTGTGATTCTCATTGGAGTTTACTCTCTCCACCTAGTGTTTGTGTAAGTACCTGGCTTTGTTGTCATAGCCAGACTGAAATGGTGACATCAGCATTGAGATTTGTTGGGGTCCTCTGGTTTAATCATTTTGTGTTTGGCAATGGAGCTGTAGCAAAATGCTTTTGAGATCTTGCCTATTCTCCATGAATCATGGAGTGGCCATTCAGAGACTGTTCATTAAGTCAGGGGTTGTTTCTGATTTATGGCAGCCCTAAAGCAAAACTATCATGCTGTTTTCTTAGCAAAATTTATTCAGAGATAGTTTTGCCTTTTTCTGTGGCTACAAGCATGTGACTTGCCCTAGCTCACCCAGTCGGTTTTCATGGTCGAGCAGGGATTGAAATTCTGGTTTCCAAAGTCCTGACCCAGTGCTCAAAAGCCTTACACTATGCTGGGGTTGGCATGAGGGATGGTTGCATATAACTCAGCCTAAGATATATGATGCAGACTACACTAAATTTGCATCCGATGTCAGTCAACTATAAATCTCTCAACAGCAGGGGAAATGTCCTCACTGCATACAACTGATCTTGTAAACTCCCTCTCTTGTAAGCTTGGCTTCCCTGAATTCCTGACCTCTTGGATCAACTATAGGGTATACAATTTTGATTTCTACTGCCACACTTTGTTCTTCCTGGCTGCCTATTTCTCATGAGTGGTTTCAGAATCCTTGAAGTCTTGCTAGTATGCCTCTACTTTTTCTGACTCTCCTGCTCAGCTCTATAAGAAGTTGATTGCTAACCATAGGACATGAACCTATTTGTGTACAGCTTTCCAGGTACTTAGTTTCCATATTTGAACTGTGGACTTCATCCCATGCAGTCTTCTCTCTGTCTTTTCTCTGTACTCCTGAAAAGGAGTCCCATGGAGGCCATCACATGACATAAGGCCACTTCTGGTTGTTGCCCCTGGGACTTCATTGTGGCAATGCAGGGAAACAGAGGGAAGACTCCATTTTCAGATGGAAACAGGGAAAGGATACGGGGTTGCTGCCTTCCTTAAAAATGGAAAGGCATAGCAGAGAATGAAAGAAAATGGTTCCCTTCATTTTTACCCACTTTTCCCACTTTCATGTGATGAGATCTTAAAACTCAGAGTAGATTCACTACACAGAGAAGCCACTGAAATCCACAAGCATGTGGACAATTTCAACAGAAAGGAAGAAACTATGAAAATGAACAAAATCTGGATACCAGTATGAAGAACCTCTAAAATTATAACAGTAAATAAAGAACAAAACTCAAACACAGAGGAACTCCAGACAAGAAACAATCAGGAACAGCTAATCACCTCTCAACAAAGGATTCCCTCAGGCAGGAACAAGCCACACCTAAAAACTGTCAAACAATCAAATGCTAATCAAGGTAGCCAATTGAAACATTCACACTTAGCTCCAACAGACAAGAGTTGTTTCTCCCACCCTGGACGTTCCACAGGTATATAAACCCAATTTTCCTAGTTTCCAACAGACCTCACAAACTCTGAGGGTGCCGGCCACAGATGCAGGCAAAACATTAGGAGAGAATGCTTCTAGGACATGGTCATATAGCCTGAAAAACCTACAACAACCATAGAATCATAGAATAGAATCAAAGAGTTGGAAGAGACCTCATGGGTCATCCAGTCCAACTCTCTGCCAAGAAGCAGGAATATTGCATTCAAATCACCCCTGACAGATGGCCATCCAGCCTCTGTTTAAAAGCTTCCAAGCTTCCAAAGAAGGAGCCTCCCCCATACTCCGGGGCAGAGAGTTCCACTGTTGAACGGCTCTCACAGTCAGGAAGTTCTTCCTCATGTTCAGATGGAATCTCCTCTCTTGTAGTTTGAAGCAATTGTTCTGTGTCCTAGTCTCCTAGGAAGCAGAAAACAAGCTTGCTCCCTCCTCCCTGTGGCTTCCTCTCACATATTTATACATGGCTATCATATCTCCTCTCAGCCTTCTCTTCTTCAGGCTAAACATGCCCAGCTCCTTAAGCCGCTCCTCATAGGGCTTGTTCTCCAGACCCTTGATCATTGTGATTCCAGTGATTCCAGCCATGAAAGCCTTCAACAATACAGATTCCACTGATATGGAAGCTACCAGCCAACCCTTATGATAATATTCAGCCCTTCCACATATAACGCATGTAGAAGGGACAAATACGAAATAAATCTTAATTTCATTTATTTAATCAATCTCATCCCCCAACTGACAGCCAATTAAGTAGCACAAAGATAATAATTAATTTCTCAGTTCCCTTGTCTTGAACCTGACAGCAGATGAAAATACAGTCAGTCATAAGGAGGAAGTAAGCTTCATTTGCAAGGCATCCTAGCACTACCACCCTTCTATATAACTTGCAACCTCATCATACATGCCAAATTTTGGTGGCAACTCCAGTTGTGCTGCAGCTTTGCCACAGAGACCACGTGCTCCCACTAGACATGAGAGAAGTACTTCACTTCTGGGGCTCCTCTGGGGCAAAACTGTGGTGGAACCAGATGTGATGAGAGAGAGAGGAAGCTGGAATGGTGTGAGGCATGGAGAGATAAGTTCCCATGCCTCCTGGGTGGGCATTGCTGGGACCGCCACAATCTGTGGAGATTCCAGCAATGATTCCAGCAGCAAATCTAGTGGTGCATATGACAAGGTAGGTTTCTGTTGTTTGTTTTTTTTTGTCGTTTCAGGAGCGTCCTGCTGTGAGAGAATTGGCTGTCTGCAAGGACGTTGCCCAGGGGATGCCCGGATGGCTTTTGATGTTTTATCATCCTTTTGGGAGGCTTCTCTCATGTCCCCACATGAGGAGCTGGAGCTGATAGAGGGAGCTCATCCGCCTCTCCCTGGATTCGAACCTGCGACCTGTCGGTCTTCAGTCCTGCCGGCACAGGGCTTTAACCCACTGCACCACTGGGGGCTCCGACAAGGTAGTTGAACTATTATAATTTAAGTGCCAACTGCAATGTCTCTCATTTCTCCCCTCACCCCTTAAGATCCCAGGTTGCTGAATTCCTAGTTTCCAGTTTACATTCAATGCACTGTTTAATGGACCCAGGCAGGCAAGTTCTGCCAGGCTATTCTTCCACAAACCAGAAGCTGGAAACTGAAGGCAGCCAGCTGGCACTGCAGAACAATTTCTAAAAGACCGATACCAAATCTCATGGCAATATACTGCAAAGCAATGACACATAAGATAATTTCTTCCTAGCTTACCTCATTGGGGATATGGTTTGCTAATGGATGCTGATCTGGAACCAGCTTTGCTGGTGGCAGTCCAATCCCAGGATTTGACCTTGGCTATCATGAAGAAAGGAACACAAATTAATAATGTGAGAATTATTTTTCAAGTCTAATCTCTGCTTGTTCTTCTTCTGAGAGAAAAAATGCTTCTGATTGAAAAATAAAAAGCATGTAAAGTAACTTCAATAGAGGATCAGTATTTTCTCATGTTAATCATTGGCTGCATTGTGTTATAGTGATAAATCCCTGAATACCAGTTAGCTGAGATAAATAAATTGGAATAGTGTTCATGAATATTTCAACTATTTAAAATGCAATTGTTGTTATGTTCAGTAGGAGCTGGGGGTAACACTTTTAATATTCAATGAAGCTTGCTGTCTTCCAAGTGTTGTTAGCACTGCACCTTTTAGAAAGAATGTTTATAGACCACATTCTCTGAAAAAAGGTGAAGTTATCAACTTGGCAGTGTGCACTGAAACCAATTTCTCCTAGAGCAGGTTAAGGATTAGAAAGAAATCCTAGAAAGCATCAATATTTACCTGAAGCAAGGATTAGGGCTCAAGAGCCCCTCGCTCACAGTTTCATTACGAATGGGTGAACACGCACAGGTTGGCCTCAAATGTTACTTGGATTTTGCAAGCATATTGAGTATCCCTTATCGGAAATGTTTGGAACTAGAAATTGTTTGGATTTCAGATACTTTTTTTCAAATTTGGAATATCTGCATTGGCATATATGTTACAAATAGGATACCTTGTGGATGGGAATCTAATTTGTCTTCATTTAATTTACACTGTATACATAAAGCCTGAAGGTAATTTTATACAACATTCTGATTAATTTTATGCATGAAGCAAAGTTTATGTAGTACATTGAATCATGAGAACCAATGCCACCCATGCAGGCAATTTTGAAATATTAGATTTCAGAATTCTAAGTAAGGGATGCTCAACTCAAAAGAACTTGCAAGGAATGCTTACTAAATGGATATTCCTTACCTCTGCTTAATTCCTATTTGATTCTTTGCCTTCCTTCAAAAGCAGAATATTGTTGGGCTTTTGCCTGACTGCACAACTATGTCAGAAAATACACATTGTTGCACCTCTCCTCTGCAGCTGGCATTCCCAAAATTGGCACTCCAGCTATAGGCAGTAGAGATGGAGTACAAGTCTCAATTTGCTGAGAAGAACCACCATAATTACAAGCAAGGAGTTTACAGGCAAAGTGCATCCTTCTCAAATTATTATTCCACTAGCCATCCCCTGCCATGCATTGCTGTGGCCCAGTCTGTGTATATGTGTTTTGTGTGTGTATATTTGTATATATGTGTGTGTATATATTTGTGTATATGTGTAAATATGTTGTTTTCTGCATGCATTGTAATGTATTTTTTATTTTTTGGCTTTTAAAGTCTCTTCTGCTGTGTTTTTCAGTTTTTTTATGAGTGATGGTCACTTTTTGGCCTGAGAGGTGTCTTGTGTCCAAATTTGGTGTCAGTTCATCCAGTGGTTTTTGAGTTATGTTAGTCCCACAAACGAACATCACATATTTATTTATATAGATGTAATATAATATATTATATATACGTATAATCCTCAGTTCTTGTGGGTTTTTTCGGGCTATATGGCCATGTTCTAGAGGCATTTCTCCTGACGTTTCGCCTGCATCAATGTACTACATAAACTTTGCTTCATGCATAAAATTAATCAGAATGCAGGCGAAACGTCAGGAGAAATGCCTCTAGAACATGGCCATATAGCCCGAAAAAACCCACAAGAACTGAGTGATTCCGGCCATGAAAGCCTTCGACAATACATTATACGTATAATATTTATAATATTATAATGTAATACAATATAATACTACTACTAATAATAATATATTATAATTATATATTTCATATTACAAGCAATATTACTAATAATATTACAATATAATGGTATAGTACAATATAGTAATATATAATTTTGATATTGTACTAAGCTAATAATATAATATATTTATTTTGTTGCTGTGGCCCACATGGGGGTTCTGTGTGGGAGGTTTGGCCCAATTCTATCGTTGGTGGGATTCAGAATGCTCTGTGATTGTAGGTGAACTATAAATCCCACCAACTACAACTCCCGAATGTCAAGATTCTATTTCCCCCAAACTCTACCAGTGTTCACATTAGGATATATTGAGAATTCGTGCAGAGTTTGGTCCGGATCCATCATTGTTTGAGTCCACAGTGATCTCTGGATGTAGGTGAACTACAACTCCAAAACCAAAGAACACTGCCCACCAAACCCTTCCAGTATTTTCTGTTGGTCATGGGAGAATTGTGTGCCAAGTTTAGCTCAATTCCATGGTTGGTGAGGTTCAGAATGCTCTTTTATTGTAGGTGAACTATAAATCCCAGCAACCACAACTCCCAAATGACAAAATCATTTTTTTAGTGAAGGACAAACATTGGCCTGAGAGGTGTCTTGTATCCAAATTTGGTGTCAATTCATCCAGTGGTTTTTGAGTTCTGTTAATCCCACAAACGAACATTACATTTTTATTTATATAGATTTCTTACTGTCTTTTGTATTGGATATTTCTTCTAAAGCCCCCTATTATTAGTGATATTCCAATGAAAACAGTGTTCAGAAAAGTTACTTGTATGGCCTCCTCCTCTCTATATTGTCTAGTGGTTCCCAACCTTTTTTATTTTTTACCAGGGACCACTTTGACCAGGGACCACTCTCCAACATTAGTACCAAAAGGGTTATGAATCTTTTTTTTGGTCAACTTCAGATTTGGTTTGTTTATTTGGGGAGCTGATTCAGAAAATTTCATTAGATACCCCATAACAGCTCCAGTTTCTGATACAGAACATATGCCACCCAGTAGTCACCATCTGCTCACTTACAGAAAACCATATTTAATAATCTAGAGCTGGCATGACCTATCTAATGCAATTTTCTGAATCAGCACCCAAAATAACCCCAGGAACAGGCCTAAAAATGAAGACTCCAAGGCACCCTTGCTTCCAGGCATCACATAGAACAGCTCCTCTCAGGGGGACAGAGGAGAAGCAGCAGTCAGAAAGCTTGTTGTTGTGCCTTTTGTGGGTAGTCAGCCTCTCCCCTCCCAACATCCCCATTGCCTCGGCACTATAAGAGGGATTTGCGAGACCAGTTGCAGTTGTTACAATGTTGTAGTAAGGGTGAGGCCAGGGACCATATTTTAGTTCTTGAGGACCACTGGTGGTCCATGGACTACAGGTTGTGAAACACAGGTCTAGTCAGCAGATCCACCAGCCACATTGAATTGGGATTCCAATTGTTGAAATCCAAGCTTGCAATATAAGACAGTGCCACTCAAAGAGTCATGATCTAAGTGCTGACACTGATCTGTGAGACATTGGCTGCCAGAGATAAAGCAGGGTTTAAATAAATGTATTATTATTATTATTATTATTAATAATAATAATAATAATAATAATAATAATAATAATACCTGGAATATTGGGGGGAAGTAATGGCTGGTCCTGCATGTTAGATAGTTTGGGAAACTGTATTGTGTACAAAAATCAATGGAAAGCTTATTTATGATAAGGGCAGCACATACTAACCCAAAACGGAACTGACAGGGTTTTTTCTTCTTCTTTTGCTTGCTTTATTTATTCATTGGAGACATTGCATTGAAAGTACAGCACAAGTAAACTGTGAGTTTTTCAACCAGCTACATTCCAATTATTTATTTCTAAGGTTACCTGTGTTTGCTGCGGAATGTTTCCTTGGGCTCTGTACCTTTGCATCAGCCGTAATATCTAGTAATTGAATCAAAGCAGTTTCGCACAATGAATAACATCATTTTAATTCTATATCATAACCGAAGGGATGTCAGGTATTCATAAAACATTTTTTTCCACGTCAGAAGCTACTTGAGAAACTGCAATTCGTTTCTGGTATGAGAGAATTGGCCGCCTGCAAGGACATTGTCTCAGGGACACCAGGAAGTTTTACCATTCTATGGGATGCTTCTCTCATGTCCTCACATGGGAAGCTGGAGCTGATAGACAGAAGCTTACCTCACTCCCTGGAGTTGAACTGCTGACCTTTCGGTCGGCAGTCCTGCCAGCACAAAGGTTTAACATATTACACCACGAGGGTCTCAAAAAAAGCATATAATATCTAATTATTCACACAGGTTTTCTGATACTGTGCAAATACTGCTGTCCTATTATGTCTATATACTAAAGTTTGGAGGACAGTTCATTTGGTCCAAAAATTACCTAAAATATCTACAGCGTAGAATTAAAGGGGGGAAAGTTGACTAAGGTCCTTTCCACATAGCTGCATAAAATTCACATTGAACTGGATTATCTGGCAGTGTGGACTAAGATATTGCAGTTCAAAGCAAATGTTGTGGATTATCTGCCTTGATATTCTTGGTTATATGGTTGTGTGGAAGGGCCCCAACTCTTTTGGGAAAGGCTCTGATAAACTTAAACACAAGGAAAGAACATAAATTGTTGTGACTCAGCATCTGTCTCATGTACCTACTAGTAGTAGTAGAAGGAAACGAGGTTTGGAAGAGGAGGACGCTCAGCAACAGCTGAAGCGTATTAGAGACTTGTTCCTGGAGCCTACGGATGAGGAGGATTTCGAGGGGTTTACTCGCGAGGAAATGGAGGTGGAGGATTACCGCGGTGTAAAGCAAGTAGCACGCAGCTTGGATAGTGATGAGGGATCTGTTGCTAAATGCCTTAAAGATGTAGCTGATTGTGAGGAGTTTGACAGTGAAGAGGAAGAGCTGGATTGGACCAAGGTCCAGGAAGTGTTAGATGTGGTTAATGCTCCCACTTCTAGTGATGAGTTCCAGGGTTTTACTGACACTTGGGTTTCAGATACTACTTTGCAGGATGCAGTCCGAAGTACAGAATGGCAGCAATGGAGAAGTCGTGATTCACCTGTGGAAATGGATGCACCTGGGAGTGACTCCAGCGACTCGGATGAGATTTAAGGAGCAGTTTGGGAGCAGTCTAGTCGCAGAGTTCAAAGTGTTGCATTACCGTGTGCCTTGTGTTTAACTCTTGCCCTGAGTTCCTGCTTACAGCTTCGTGGATTCCTGATTGTGTGGACGACCTTGCCGGAATTGGATTCGTGAGTCTTTCTCCTGCCCTGACCCTTGGACTACCTGACCACTCTACGCACCTGCTTATCCCTTGGTGACTTCGTTGGACCGCTCCTCATGCGGATTGATGTTTGCTGATTTGTTTGGATTTGGAATGGACTGAGTTTTTGCCGCTGACTTCAAGCCTTACTGCCTGTGTTATTGCTGCTTTCCTTTTCCCAGCGAGGACTGACTGGGACTTGGTTTGTTTACATTCTTGCTGGCTGCAAGCCCTTTTGTGTTTACTCTGCTTTTAAGAGCCCTTTTTCTTATGTTAATTGACATTAAAGACCTTTGTTTAACTCCTTAACTGCTGTCTTGCCTTGCTGGTCCGCCTGGGTCTTGACATAAATGGAACAATAACAATAAGAGCTTCTAGAAGTTATTATTTGGACTACAATGTCCTGCGTGGCCAACTCTTCCTAAATCTGAAAACATTATTTTATTTACCCACACCTTGATTAGCATTTTAGATCATAAAGAATCTTCAGCCCCAATGATCATACATCAATGAAGGGAATTTTTTCTTGAAACTCAAAAATCCTTAATGTTTGAGCATGCTTCCAATTGTTTATTTTGATTGCAATTCTGAACACAGGACACATAAATCCCAGAATAGCAATGGGATTAGGTTTCAGCTCTAATCATATTTCCTACGCCCCTTCCACACAGCTGCATAAAATCCTGCTTTGTAATGATAATATAGTAATAATAAAACTAAAGGGACTCAGGGTGGATTCCAGTCATAAAAGGCAAACATTCAATGCTCGAACATAACAAGTAATACACACAAAATAATGAAAATTGATAACCCAACATATAAAAGCAAATTGTAACTTAACAACTAAAATTAAATTGAAAAAGCAACCGATTATATTATCTGCTTTGAACAGGAATATATGACAGTGTGGACTCAGAAAACCCAGTTCAAAGCAGATATTGTGGGATTTTCTGCCTTAATATTCTGGATTATATGGCTATGTGGGCCCTCAGTGAGTAAGCTTTTTGGAACATGGTGGGATGTACATTTAAGAATGCGAAATAGAATTGCTCTGTAAAGCTGCTAAACTGCCTTGTGCAACATTCCCTAAACTGGTGTCTTCCAGATGTGTTGGGCAACAAGTTGGTTGATGGAACCTGTAGAGATTGTGGAACTTGTAGTCCAAGATATCTGGAGGGCATTAGATTAGAGAAAGTTGATACATAATATTGTAGCTTTAACTGTCTTTTTCTTTTTCTAGTAAACAGAACCTTCCAGTGGACTGATAATCTACCCTTATGAATTTGTGGGAATAGTGAAAGGACCAAGGCAGTGATATCTCCAGCTCATCCCTTGTTTGGGTATCAGCCAGCACGTCAACGACTTAAATCAAGAAATAGTTTTCTAAGATCTACAGAGACACTCGCTGGAACACCTCAGCAAGCGAGAGTCCAAAAGTGGCAGGCTCAAACCCAGAACCTCAATCCATGGCTGATACCAAATGAGAGACTCCCCCCCGGGCACACAGAGGACTGGGCGACTTGGAAGGCGCTGAACAGACTGCGCTCTGGCACCACGAGATGCAGAGCCAATCTTAAGAAATGGGGCCACAAAGTGGAATCCATGACATGCGAGTGCGGAGAAGAGCAAACCACAGACCACCTGCTGCAATGCAACCTGAGCCCTGCCACATGCACAATGGAGGACCTTCTTGCGGCAACACCAGAGGCACTCCAAGTGGCCAGATACTGGTCAAAGGACATTTAATCAACTACCAAGCTTGCAAACTTTGTGTTTTTTTATCTGTTTGTTTGTTTTGTTCTGTTAGAAATGTTATACAATGATATGGTTGCTGATGACACGATAAATAAATAATAAATTAATAAATAAATTTGTGGGAAAAGAGAAAGCGCCATACGGATTATCTTCACAGAACAACAAAATGCTTTAGGATTGCTTTGATCTTCCTGTTTCAGATTTAACGTGTCTTTGAATTTCTCAGTTTCAGTCTTGCCTCAAAATATATATCAAAATAAATGTTAATGGATACTGTGCATTTAATCTCAAATTGCAAGACACATGTCAGATTTGGGGGAAAGAGCTTTTTGTACTGAATTCCGGGAATCCCTTACCATCATGGTCACTAGTAGGCCTAATCTCTAAAAGTAATGTTTCCATTTATCTTGCAAACTAAACACCTCATCAAACATTATCAGGGTATAGATATACACTTTCTTTTTAAAAGAAAAAAGACTTACTTCTCTGCTGTTGCTTGTAGCAAAGCGCCTACCAAATTGATTGACCTGAGGAAAGAAAAAAAAAATCCAGATCATGGTAGCACAATTTTGTTTTGTTGACTTAAATAATTCAGCAAATAATATTTCTGCGAAGAAGCAATTTCTTCTGTATAAAATATTCTGTTTTCTGTGTAATCCATCTGAAATTTGTGCAGAACATTCCCAAATTGAAAAATTGATATTCTTGCAGTAAGAAGATTCCTGGAATTACTTGTAGCTTCCTTTATGGATTATATCAGTAGAAAATTACATTTCTGTCCTGAACCACAATCTCTGTTGTACAGAATTGAAACAACATCATATATTTACTAAGTCTACAAAGATTATTCACCTTCCACTTTTAAAGATCTTAAGCTGGCATTTAAACACAGGAACACAAATAAAGATGATCTTTTCAGGGCTACCCCAAGACATTTTACTAATGAAAAGAGAGAGAAGAGGACACCCCAGTCCCATAGTTGTTTAGACAGTAGTTGGACTAGCAAATTGAAATTATGCTAGTAGGCATAGGATCAGGCCCGTAGCCAGAATTTTGTTTCGGGGGGGGGGGGGCTGATTTTTTTCAGGGGGGGTTCGGGGGGGCTGAGTTTCGGGGGGGCTGAGTCTGAGTGAAAGAGGGTCTACCCTAGCAAACCTTTTGTAACATTACCCCAAAACCCCCATGCATGTGGGATATATTAAGTATGGTGATCAGATCATGATATGAATAAACATAACAGTTTAAAGTCTCCTTTATCACACCTAAGGTGGAAATTAAATTTTGAGGCCCAAGAGAAGATTATTTAACATAATACGTTCTTTCCCTGCACTGTGTTACAGCCAGGAAATTTAAGAGAAACACCATGGGATGGAAAAAACAAAGAGGGTGATTCTTGGGTTGTTCTTAGCCTCACACGATAAAAAACTAAGCTATGTTTAGTTTTCCTTAAGGTTGAAGCATGCCCTCACTTTCATTTCATGGTTTGAAAAGCATAGACATGTCAACATGTCACCATCAGTGTAATTGATGCTTTCTGAATTCAACACAAACAAAACAAAACAGACTTTCCCTCTCTTTGTTTTCCCTCCCTTGTCCTATGCACTAAAATGCCTGTGAGCTTACACATTCATCACTGGGTGTACCACAAACAAGAGAACGGGATTGGAAGTTTTGTGCTGGAAGTTTAGTGCACAAAGTTTGAAGACTATTTGACTTTAGCATAATTAGAGCATTTTTGCCATAGTCATCCATCAAGCAAATGAGGCATACCATCCAACATTTCTCAGAAGAAAACTGGAGTATATGTGTCAAGCAACATCAGAATGTATTCAAGATGGCAAAAGTTATGAATGAAGAAGAAGACACAAACAAGGAAATAATGCAGCCGTTTTCTTTTACCTAGGTCTACAGGGAAAAGAGAGATTCCCATTCCTTGTAACTCATATGGATCTATTATTTACTTACAGGCCACCCAGTAACTTGAAACAAGGCACATGCATTGCAAGTGAGAGTGAGTTACCAGAAAAAAATATATCTAAATGCATGTCATGTGCAAATCTGTCCCATCCATCACTAACAAAATGTCTTTGTGGAGGGTTTCAAAGAAAATAGATGCAATGTCATAGGAGCCCCCGGTGGCGCAGTGGGTTAAATCCCTGTGCTGGCAGAACTGAAGACCAACAGGTCGCAGGTTCGAATCCAGGGAGAAGCGGATGAGCTCCCTCTATCAGCTCCAGCTCCTCATGCGGGGACATGAGAGAAGCCTCCCACAAGGATGATAAAAACATCAAATCATCCAGGCGTCCCCTGGGCAACGTCCTTGCAGACGGCCAATTCTCTCACACCAGAAGCGACTTGCAGTTTCTCAAGTCACTCCTGACACGACAAAAAAAAATTGACACAGTAACTGCAGGAAGAGCTATTTACAAAAAAAAAAAAATCCAAGTGTGAGAGACTGAAATCTATAAGGAATTTTGAAATAGGACTCAGAGAAACAATACCTTTGTTACTCTTGTGGTGGTCCAAATCATGCAATGTGTTTTTAAAAAGCCATCTATAGTTTTGCCATCTATAGTTTTTCATTTAAATATGCAAAAAGCACATACACATTTCACAGTTACTTCGAATCCATAAAATCAAAATATTAAGTCCTTTTCTAGGAAGGGTGAATAATAAATAGAGCTAAACTATCCAAAAGGATTAAAATTTTCTACACACCAACTACTAGAAAAATCTGAACGTTGCAATTTTTTTTCACACCAAACTATCAACACTTATCTACCAGGAAGTTTACAGAGCAAAGTGAGCTGCCTCGGAGTGTGGAAGTTGCTTTGCCTGTGCTAGGGCCCTTCAGTATCAATTGAACACCCAAAGCAATGCCATACGATATAATATACTCAGTGTAGTTTGCTTTATCTCATTAGGAGAATGCAGTATGAATACAAGCCAGCTGAGTAGATTAAAAGTGACTTACGGGTAAACAGAATGTCAGTCCCAGGAGAGAAAGAAGCAGAATTACAATCTTCATGTTCCAAATTGGTATCTGCACGAAGGAATCAGAAATCCATTTTTCCCTTGTTGCCTTTTAGGAATAGTGAGTCATAATGCAAACATCTACCTCCACATTAGCAGCTGCTCTTACCTTTCTGTTGTCTTATAAAGTCAGAAGAAATTATAAGTTTTGTCCCTACTGTTTTTGGCGCAGCTCTTCTCTCAGCCTTTTTTTGGAGATGCAGCTGTCCTGCCTGAATTTAAACACTTCACTAAGGGGGTAGTCATCGGAGCAGAACCCACACATAGTCATTTGTGTTTCACACAGTGCCCAACATCTTATTAGCAGCAAGTAACATTATGTCACAGAATATCTGTGGTCGTTGGAGTAAATCTTTTCTAACCCACAAAGCGCATGGCATGGGATATACAAAATGAGACCTTCTTTTTCAGAAACCAAATCACATAATTGTGTTAATGAAATTAGCCATTAAAAAAATTAACACTGAAGGCATCAGTCCCTTGTCTGGATAAGAAAGCAATCATGTAACTGCAGATCCCAACATCCCTTAGTATTGACTACAACAGCTAGAGTATCTGGAATTTATCATCCATTATCCTCCCATTCCACCAGAAGATGAATCTGTTTTCATTCAAGAAAGCCTTTGAGTTTTAATGATGAAGCAGTAGTATATCTCTATATAAGAGTATGCGAAGTTTTTAATTTTTTTTTGTGAAAATGCTTTAATCTTTTAACCACTTTTTATATGGACTTAACACAGAAATTAAACAAAACAGCATTGAAGAGGACTGCCTCTTGGATATAGTCTGTATCACACGGCCCCATGTGTATCCTATAGTTGGTCTACCTCCTCCCTGTGATAACTCAGCCCCTCACTATTGGGAAAACCCATCAATAGCTGCAGATCACACTTCATTCCTGTCACTTACCTATTGCAATCAAACTGTACCAGTTCCATGCCAGCATAGACATAGCATATTATTTGAGAACACAGAAATGCTGGAGCACTCTGATAACTACATGTCAAGCTACACAGAGAAGCCATTGAAATCCACAAGCATGTGGACAATTTCAACAGAAAGGAAGAAACCATGAAAATGAACAAGCTCTGGCTACCAGTATTAAAAAATCTCTAAAATTATAACAACAAATGAAGAACAACACTCAAACACAGGGGGACTACAGACAAGAAACAATCAGGTACAGTTAATCATCCCTCAACAAAGGATTCCCCCAGGCAGTAACAAGCCAAACCTAAAAACTGTCAGACCATCAAAAGCTAACCAATGTGGCCAATTGAAACATTCACACCTACCTCCAACAGACAAAGAGTTCTTTCTCCCACCCTGGACGTTCCACAGATATATAAACCCAATTTTCCTAATTTCCAACAGATCTCACAACCTCTGGGAATGCCTGCCATAGATGCTTGCAAAACGTCAGGAGAGAATGCTTTTAGAACTTGGCCATATGGCCTGAAAAACCTACAACAATCCAACACTATGTATAGTTAGCCCCCTCTATCCATGAATTCTAGAATTGAGCATCCATGGATTTTGGTATCCATGGGGATCCTAAAGCCAAACCCCAGAGCCCACTGTAATGCATGATTAAATTAAATTGAGTTCCACGGCTTTAATGAAAAATCAGATCTAGAGATGGTGTTGAAAAGAAACCAACAGTGTCAGTCAAATGATTAAACCACTAGAGGTGAGAAGATCCTCTCTCATGTCCTCCCAAAATACAGGGTGTTACAAATAAATGGACCTGATTTGAAATCATAGTGCTTTGAAATTGGATCCATTATTTAAAACACCTCTATATTTCCCTGATTTGTGGGATAAGAACCTCAATCTTAAAGGAGGTATATATAGGGAGAGGCACTACTTCAAGTATCATGAGCTAACTCTATGAATGCAGTGCCCATAGAAGAAAGATGGAGTGCCAGCATCTAGAGAAGATAATTCCCCACTCCCTTCTTTGGTTCTACCACACATGAAGGAGCTATGTCTAGCTAAATCACTTGTTCTACAAAGGAAATTCCAGCCCTGTGAAGGAACACAGCTACTAATAAGTGTTGCCTTTGTGCAACATGTACTCCAAGCTGGATGAAAGAGGCATTTTCTTCTACAATTGTGGTTCTTGGTCCAATCTAATTTGTGGCTCTGCATACAGTCAGCCCACTGTCAGATAAACATTCAAAGATGTTCTGTACAGGATATCCCCAAGTTGTGAACAAGATAGGTTCTGTAGGTTTGTTCATAAGTTGAATTTGTGTGTAAGCTGGAACAGGTACTTTTAAAAGTGTAATTTCAGGCAATATATAGCTTTGGATAGCATTTGTTGTTCATTCGTTCAGTCGTCTCCGACTCTTCGTGACCTCATGGACCAGCCCACACCAGAGCTCCCTGTTGGCCGTCACCACCTCCAGCTCCTTCAAGGTCAGTCAAGTCACTTCAAGGATGCATAGAGAATTATTAACACCCCTCAAGGTCAGTCCAGTCACTTCAAGGATGCATAGAGAATTATTAACACCCCTGTGGTGTTTGTTTTGCTCTCTGTGTCTCTGTCTCAACATTTCTCCTCACTTTCTGTCCCTGTGGTACTTGGATTATGAAAAAATTGGCTTGTTGTGGAAACAAGAACTTGTGATAAAGCTTCAGTGGAGACCTCTTTTCCCATGATAACTCTTCCAGGAGTGAATTTCCCTTCTTAGTGGTAGATTTCTCTCATTTCTTGTTGTCTTACTCCCATTCTTAACTATAGAGTCATTTGTAAGTCAGGTGTTTGTAATTTGGGGAATGTCTGAATTCTGTTTTCAATCAAATAACAGATGTCAGTAGATGCAACACTACAAAAGTGGACAGACAGAGACATGATGTTTTAATTCCCCATCTCTTTTACAATGTCATCAGATGGGCTAAATTCAGCAATGATGGTCCTGCTTCACCTGTACCACGGAGCCCACCAGCTCCCATCCCACAATGTCAAGCTACTTCCGATGGGAGTCAATGGTAAAAGTGAAGAGGGAGCATTATATGCCACCATGGTGGCAACATGGAAGGCTTCCTATGTTGCATTGGCAACAATGGGGGGGGGGGAGCCAAGCAGCAGATGCTCCCCCTGTGCGATGGGGTGAAGGGTGTATGTCAGGTGATGCGAGGCATGGTGCGGCATGTTCCCCACACACCCCAACGGCCCCTGACGGATTTGTCACAATCCATGGAGATGAGATCCTTAGTGTTCTTGCTGCCACTATATTGCTGCCTATGAAACCTGTGACAAATCTGGGAGAAAACAGGACTGCTATTTTTCAGAAGACGGAGCTGAAGACTTTCAAAACAACCTGCCAAATCAGTTCCCTCCTCATACACAGGTATGTTTGCCAACTCTTTGGCTATGCACAAAACAGCAACAATTGTTAGAAACAATGTAATGGATCTTAATTATATACTAGCTCTGCATGCCAAAGGCAGGGGGAAATCCAGTCCTAAAGGTACACATTCTCCCTTTATGTCATATAATTACTATCTAGCAATATACCTACTACAGATTTAAGAAACTCTATATGAGGTCTTACAAAGTGCTAATGACTGGAAACAGATTAACAAGGCTGAGCTACTTTGAAACGGTTACATGCCAAAATACATGTTGTTTCTTCAGATTTATTTTGCATTAAAGATAAATGTGCCACCAAATTTATTGTTCATTGGAAGGTGGAGATTGGAATATCAGTTTGCCTGGCAACTGATCTCAGTTAGCTGTTCCCATTCTAAATCACCTCATCAAGCTAAATTATTCTCATATTTGGATTGTAATCCTAATCTGATAGCAGCGAGAATGATTGTCAGTGGAAGGAAAGATATGCAGGCTAAGAAAAGGTCTTTCCCACTGCTTTCAGAAATTTGGTTTTGTCATAAAGCTCTGTATGGCTTAGTACAAACTCAGTGGTTTCCAACATTTCTTCCTCCAAGTGTTCTGGACTTTGGCTACCAGAATTCCTGATAGTTGTTCAAGCTGACTAGGGCTTTGGAGAGTTGAAGTCCCAAACACCTGGAGGATCAAAGGCTGGGAACTTCTGGACTAGAATACTTGAAGGAATATATTCTCTCATACATTATATTCTTTGCTGCAGCCCTGAGATCTTAGGATGAAGCTCTTCTCTTGAGATATGTATCAGGCAAACTAGCATTGAAGCTGGATCATCTCCTTATGGCATGATGCCTATGCATCCAGCTGCTGGTCTGCCCCATCAATAGTTTACAATCCAATCACCTGTCTTGGTCCGTTCTGCTTTAATGCCAGCATGTGGCAATAATATAATGTCACCCACTTCCTCCCTCCTCCCTATTCCTCAAGTTATTTGTTTTTTGTTTGCTTTATATTTTACAGTTATATTTGCTTTTTTTGTTTTTCATAATTGAAATTATTAATTTTCTCTAAAAATATAAAAAATACAGAATAGCAGAAGTATGGGAAGGCAGTGTTATACGGCATGTAGAATTATGATTGCAGGACCATGGGTTGTCAAATTACAATTGTGTAAATGAAGAAAGGTGTTCATTTTGGCTTGTTCAACTACAGTGGATTTTTTTTTTACCAATATGGTGTTTTAATTAACTTTCTAAGTGCTCTTGGATCCCAGTTTCAAGGGGAAAGGAACAATATAAATAGGTTGAATAACAATAATTATTGTCACCAGAATGATGGTCTGGGGTAGCTTGATTTAAATTTCAAGAAATTGGTTTAGCCTTTTGCAAAGCGAGCCCAAACAGACTTGCTCATCACTAACATGAGCTGAAGAGTGTGATGTTGGGAGAACATTCATGGCTTGTCTGCACTTGCAAAAACCCCAGACTGACCCTGAATGGAAGGATGGCTGTCGTTATGACGCAAATCAACTTCCAGTGAGCACAAAAGTTGGTTCTTTTGCTATTGTTGTTGCTTGCTTTGCTATAAACCATCTTTGCCCTAGGCAAAGTTGGGGGATACTCCAGAATTTCAGAGTAATCTGGACAATGGGATT